CGCCCTTTCAGCCGTGGGGGCGTTATAATGTGACGACCAATCCCCCTATTCGTTGATAAAAGAGTAGCCCAATAGTTGACGGTGGGTGGTGATGACTAGCTGCCTTCCCTCTAGTCTTACACTGCTAGATTAGGGAGGGCTAGCGCAGACAGCCCTCTTGTAGCTTAGCGCGAAATTCAGAAACAAACAAACAATCCTTACCTTAGGAAAGACATTGCGTTGTTGGAAAGGGTTCAGAGAATTGTTGCTAGAATGGTGCCTGGGATGGAGGGGTTGTCGTACGACGAGAGGATGAAATTTCTCAAAATGTATTCTCTTGAAAAAAAGAAGAGTTGGGGGGGGGGATCTGAATGAGGTGTTTGAGATTGTAAAGAGAATTGAGTGTGTTGATGTATCATCTTTTTTCATATTTAAAAGTGAGAATAGTAAGACTAGAAGACACAAATATAAATTTTGGCAAAATAGGAGCCATCTTCAGCTAAGACAGTTTTATTTTTCTAACAGGGTGTTTGGCCTTTGGAATGGGTTGCCTTCAGATGTTGTAGAGTTAGTAAATTTAAGTGAGTTTAAGAAAAAGCTTGATAAGTTAATAAATTATAAGGGCTGGCTTTAAGATTTTTCCTTTAATTATTTTAGTTTACTTTAAAGGATGGAACAGCCGAGGTGGACCAATAGGTCCCATGTTGTCCCAAAACATTATGCTATGTTATGTGAAAAAACTGTCTTCATTTTATATGAAAAAACGTAGCATATGAGAAATGTCTTAACTTTCAAATTATGTGAATTAAATATTAATTAAAGAAATTGGTTTTGATAAAAACAACAATGTGGGAGCAAATACTTTTAGAACATTTCATAGAAGTGAAATGATAATTAAATGTTTATGCCACTTGACTAACATGCTGGTTACCTGGGTTCTAGTATATATCTAGTTTTTAGTAAGTCGAAGTAAAATACTATTGAGCATTATCTTAAAATGTTTTATAACCACAAAGTATCGAAGAAATAACTGGAAACATGGTATGAACGTCAAGTGTTATGGCAGCATTGTCAACAAATCTTAAAAGTTATCAAGTGCAAACCAAAAATAATAAAATATTTGTAAGGTAACAGAAAAATGTATAATTATGCAATTATAGATATATACATATTTAAATAAAATTTTAAAATAATAAAATGAAAACAAAATACTCTACGTTAATTACTATGGGATTAAATAGAGTAAACTCTACTAATTAATAGAGTTGACCAAAAATAATAAGAGAAAAGAAAATAGTCGAAATATGTTGTAGAAGTCAGCTACAAGTGTTATAGAAGTTAGCTACAAATGTTATAGAAGTCAGCTACAAATGTTATAGAAGTTAGCTACAAATGTTATAGAAGTCAGCTACAGATGTTATAGAAGGCAAATGTTATTGAAGTTAGCTACAAATTTTATAGAAGTTAGCTACAAATGTTATAGAAGTCAGCTACAAATGTTGTAGAAGTTAGCTACAAATGTTACAGAAGTCAGCTACAAATGTTATAGAAGTCAGCTACAAATGTTATAGAAGTTAGCTACAAATGTTATAGAAGTCAGCTACAAATGTTATAGAATGCAAATTTTATTGAAGTTAGCTACTAATGTTATAGAAGGTAAATGTTTTTTTTCCTCAGTTTTTAAGAATATCATATGCTTTCAATTGTTTTATGAAAACTTTAGAAAACAGAAATTGTTTATATACATCAATAGTCTTTATACTCCTTGTCAATCCAAGAAGGTTCATTGACAATTGGGTTGTAGAGCAACGCGTTCCCCAGTGGTTAATTAAAAGGTGACAGGAAACAATTTTGGTGTCATTACACGACTGGTAAAATTCATTAAGTGTCTAGATTTTTTTGGACAGCAGTATTTAGTTGTCTCTGTTTCCTCATATGTCTGCGGACTTACATCACTAGAATCCAGGTTTCGATACCCGTGGTTGGCAGAGCACAGATAGCACATTGTGTAGCTTTGTGGTTAATTACAAAAACAAACAAACAAACATACTGTTTCCTCAAGTTTATGTTGGACAAGAAAGATCTTCCTTTTTACTAGCTTGTCTGTTAAATATCTGACAACATTGTTATATAGCTGGTAATGCTTATACTCTAAGCATTTATAGCAGCCTCGACATAGCTTCGTGTATCTACTGGCTTATCATAGATAATTGTGGTCTTGTTCCTGGAGAAACAATCACGAAACTCGATCTTGTCTGGAAACTCCTTCTGTATCATTTCTTTAAATGTACTGATTTTAGTTGTCTTTGTGAAAACTAAAGTTTTTGTAATACCTTTTTATAATACATTAACAGTGCTTCAAATATTCTTGTCTTATTCGTCTTCAAGCCAACAATGAGTAAATGTCAAAATAATACTTTTTTGACCTCGTTAAGTTGTATTTGTGTCAGTGTTGTCCTGAACCATAGTTTCAATGTTCGCATTTTAAAATATTTACATATTTCTTCCAAAAGTAACTATGGTAACGAACTTACGTAGTAAACGGATCGGGTGAACAATCCATTACAACCAGGATCTGTTTACGCAATGCCTCATCCCCTAGGTATACTGTGTGATTCTTGAAAGTTTGCCATGCAACTAGCTGTTGGGAGAGTCATAATCTGTCTCTTTAGGGATGCTTTTTGTTTTCTAGTTTTATACACGTACACATATATCCTTTTTATGACGTGGCCCACAGCTGCTGTTTGAAAGTTGACTTGCTGATGTACTTGGGGCATTTCCGATGTAACTGGTAATGTCAATATTTAAAATTTACTTTTTATGTTTATGCTGTTCTGTTTTTACTTAGATTACCTACTGAAACCTTCTTTTAGTTTTAAACCGCATTTGACATATAAAAAAATACCCCTGCTGGGTCACCATTCCTTTTAATTTTATCGTACACAGTTTCATCTCTATCTAAGCCCTCCCATTCTAGTCAACTTTATCATAAACAGTTCTATGTCTATCCAAATCCTTCCATTTCAGTTAACTTTATCGTACACAGCTTCATGTCTATACAAGACCTTCCATTATAGTTAACTTTATCATACAAGCTCCATGTCTATACAAGACCTTCCATTTCAGTTAACTTTATCATACACAGCTCCATGTCTATACAAGACCTTCCATTATAGTTAACTTTATCATACACAGCTCCATGTTTATACAAGACCTTCCATTTCAGTTAACTTTATCATACATAGTTCCATCTCTATCCATTCTTCAGTTCCAGTTAACTTTTACATACACAGTTCCATCTATATCCAAGCCTTCAGTTATCTTAACTTTATCATACACAGTTACATCTCTTTGGCACAAACTTACTTGTTCGGGTGAGAATGAAATAATAGGTATAGGATGATATCATTTGTAAATGTACGTGTTTTATTTCAACATTGTCTTTTTCGGAAAGTATGGTATTACACAAGAGTTAATTTTATTGCTTCTGTTCAGTCAGTTATTGGATTATTTCTGGTACTTTTTTGCCTTAATACGTCCTAGCTAATGATGATGAAAGAAAGTACCGTGTTTTGATTGATGAAAGTAAGTACCATGACCTAGTTATTATCAAGGAGTGAGTATCATGTCTTGACTCATGAAAGTAAGTACCATGTCTTGATTACTATTAAGAAGTATTATCCATGTCATGATTACTATCAGGAAGTGAGAACCATGTCTCGATTACTATTAGGACAATCAGTTTATATTCCCCCCTTTTTTTCTCAAAATATTGGGTACTAGCTGCAGTACTCGTCCCCTGGACGGAAGTTTTGTAAATTTATGATTAATGAAAGGTTATCTTAGGACATGAAAAGTTGCTTCCTTATATATGTAATTGTAAAAAATGAAAAAAAAAACCCATAAAAACCATAAAACGCAAAATACAAAACTGAAAATTTTTATTTACCCCTGCTAAGTATTAGAATTTTAAATGGCCTGAAACCCAGCTAAATGATACTTTAAATTTAGTAGTTAAATTATACTTTGGATTTAGTAGTTAAGTAATAGCCGATATACAGTTTATGATATTTGCCGACAAGATTGATACACAGTTTTCTTTTTTAATACAAAGATGTTTTAATATACACACAACAGTAGAATTTACAATACCAGTTATTACAAACAATGATTTATAAACAAAAATTTCACAAACCTACAAGCAATATAAAGTCTTCTTTCTAGTTTGGAACTTTCTTGACATCTCATCGAGGGTTTACGATGAGCGAGTTGGTTACGAATTGATATAGGTACAATTCACTTCGTAGGGAGCTAGCTAGCCCTGTAGTTCTCGCTGATCACTCGCCGATCACAGGTCGAGTTTCACCGATGGCGTTAGGTAAACTTTTCGTAAAAGTATTAATGTCCGATGTGAATCCACTGAAGTTAAATGGTTTGTAACGTTCGAACTCTATAAATATTCTTGGTCAAATATCTGAAGTTTTCCGATTGACAAGTGTTATAACAATCACAGTTATAGCTTCCGTAGTTTATAGCACACTGACTACAGGGAACTAATAATAGATACTCTCCTTTTGGCGCGTCGTGTTGGTTGTAGTTATAGGCGTCTATAGGTTTCTAGAAATTTCAGTTTTACGTGACAATACTGGCGCTAACACAAGTATTTACGTACACACATATATTGTTGATTCTTACACCCCAGAATCTTCTACAACTTTGGAGAATAGGCGGAAGTTTCGCAATACAAATTTAACAATATAAGCCTTGTATGTTTCTAAATATAAATTTAATCTCAACAAACGTTGACATTAAAATAAATATATAATAACAAATTCGTTACACCCCGCATGGACCTAATGAACGGCCATACCAGTTTTGGTAAAGCTACATCCACACCCCGCGAAGTAGTTACATGGACATACAACAGACAGTACTATTATATCTATATAGATTCAAATCAGCCAAAACATTAGTAACTTTGTGCTATACAATTTCTGTATGCTACGTTATAGAGAGATTTGTTTTCATTATGAAAGAGAGTACTTTGTCCGTATTACTATTAGGGTGATCTCTGTCAACCACTGCCTCTTCTCAAAAAATGGTGTAATCCGACAAGTTAAAACACTAGTAACTTTGTCCTTTGTAGTTTTTGTACAATTTTCTAAATAGCTAATGTTTTGTGTGAGTGCGGATGTTCTGCAATCTTTAAACAGGTTTGAAAACGGGTGATTAATCCAAACCCACAACATTTAAACCAAACTTGGATTGTTTGCAGTGTTACATCTCCGTTTGTTAATTGATTTTTCCGTAACTTCGTTCCAACGAAATTTTAACGACACAAGTCTTTACTTAATAAAACTGGTTTATTCTTTCCGAATATAACTTAACCGATACACTTAATCTCAATACTCGCGCTAAAACAACACTGTAACGAACGAACGTTAACTTCAACAATACGCTGTGACTGCAGTTCAATTACTCACTGTCTATCTACATACATTACCTTCCCCTCTTTTATATT